TATGACCATAATTACGCAGATTCTTGACAGTTAAAACTAAACCATGATTCCATGTTTAGGGATGCAATGATTCAGTTTGGACATCCAATATCAGGTGGGTTGAGGTTCTGGATGTTTTACATAGGTAGTTGTACCTAATGCAAAATCCTCACCTTAGTGAACTACTGTTTAGTATGTGACTGACTAAACTGAACAAGATCACCTATATATCTCTGAACTAAAATACACTTGATTTTTCTTGCTTGCCGCCCTGCCTCACCCCATTTCCTTCCCTTGGCCACCGCTCCACCCATCCGCTCTGCTCCATTTCTATGCGAAACCCTAGAGATGGTGGCGACTGATTGATGTGGGCCTGGCGGTAGCGACAACGGCTTAAAGCAGGAATAGTAGGAGAAAGGAAGACAGACATAGATCCATGCAGAGCATGAGGCGGGAAGCCAGAATAGATCGATGTCGGGGCGTGAGGACCATCTCGTCATTCTAAAAAATACCACTTACACCAAATGTCAGTATAGTATCATGTTCATGTAAGAATCTAAGAGATTTAGGAACATAGGGAGTAGATGGTAATTATAGACATCAGAGAGGAGTAAATTTGATCACATATACTATATAGGGACTTCGTAGATGCATTCTAGCAGCAGAAGCACAAAACCCTGTATGGATAAAATTCACTTTTATTAAAGTACCAACATGAATATGGCAGTGCGGCGTTGATGAGCAGTGGCGGGCGAGGCGTGGGAGGTGACAATGACGAATGATATGGTGATTAGCAGGTAAAAGGTAAGTGCCCCCGTCGTTTGGTCCCTCTCCTCTCCTTGCTTCTGCCTCTTCCTATATTCATGTTTTGTGTTCTTGCCTTGTCAGAAGCCGTTCATTTCCATTGCTCAGCGGGGGCCTCTTCGGGGACTCATCTAGCATCAGGCGTTATTGGAGGAGAGATGGCTCTCATGGATTAGGATGTTGCACATCATTGACGGGTCATTCCATGGATTAGGACGTTGCACATCATTGACGGGTCGTTCCGCACACTGCTCTTGTTGTTTGTTCTTGACATATCATGTGTGGTGCTGTACTTTCTGAATCAGTTGGTGGTTTATATTAGCAAGTACTATCATTCTGTCACTATTCTGTCACTTTTGAACCACCGATATTGTATGTGATCAGTCCTCTAAACTATAAAACTATTGCTTTTGTGTTCATACAAGCCTCTTAGTATATATGATGTCACTATTATTCTTTTAAGGCTGATCCATTCTCTGAATGTTTTCTATAACTCTGTCTTATTGTTCCAGTCACCAACTTCCATGTTCTTGTACTTTAAGTCTAACACAATAACACTACATAGTACAAACAAGTGAGTATAAGGGGCGCAATCCACCTGACACCGCCCCAACTTTCTCTCAGGAGGCGCCACCCGGTGGCGCCCCAACCACTAGTCCCATGCAATGGGGCGCGACGGAGCTTCACAATGTTATACTGCAGGATGTGTTTCAAGAAGTCAGGCGCAGTACTGGTTGGAAACCATTGAAATATTTGTTGTATGTACCTTGGTGGGAACACTGAGTTTGTTGCGGAAAAAGTCCATTTTAAACCCTGAATTTGTAGAGGTTCGGCGAAATGAACCCTCAAATCAAAATCCCGGTCGATTGCACCCTGAACTATACAATCCCGGTCTAAATCGAACCCTAGCAAAATTCAACCGGGATCCATCTGACTAGTGGGCCAGGGAACGGCAGTATTGACCACAGAGCGCCCATGTCCTCCGCGCTGGGCCGGCCCATTTGACTTTTTTCGGTTACACTTATATTTCGGTGTTTGCAACATTTCAAAAATATTCAAGCGTTACAAAAAGAGTACATGGCATTTCGAAATATATTTTAATATTATTTAAATATTTATATATGTGTAACTTAAAAATGTACGTTGCATTTGTAAAATGTTCACGCATTTTAAAATAATGTTTGTGACATTTTGAAAAATGTATACAATGCACAAAAATGTCACGTAGTTTCAAACAATGTTTCCTACCATCCCAAAAAATGTTATCTTTTTGTAACAAGGTTAAAAATGTACGTTACATTTGTAAATTGTCATCTTGCCTTCGCCCGTCGCCTCGCCGCCGAGGAATACACTGTGGTGAATGTTTATGAAAAAATAGACATAAAAATATATATTTAAAAATTGTTAATCATGTATTTGGAAAATGTTGAACGTGTATAAAGACGTTTCGGATATATACGAAAATGAGCAATGTGTGTGAAGAAAATAGACATGTGTATAAATTTTTCCTGATGTACACAGAAATTATATTAAGGGAACGTTAGTTTACTGGTCATCTAATTTCGCCTTTGTTATATATGTTGATTTTTTCGAATAAACATTGAAATAATTATAAAATTACGGCATTTCAAAACAATACGCAAATATGGAAAAAAATCGTCAATTTGAAACAAAATCACGAATTTAATAAAAAAGGGAAACTGAAAAATAAAAAGGAAAGAACAGAAAGGAAAAAAGAAGAAAAAGGGAGGAAGTGAATACAGCCTGTGTCGTGTCCCTTGAATTGATCACATTATAGCCTAGAGCACGGGTCTCGCATTCGAGTCTCACCGTCCACTTCTTTTTCTTTTTTAACGAAAAGAATAAACCGGGCTGGTGCACTATTTTTGTTTGGCCGGCCCAACAGTGCGTCCTGTGCAAAATACCCGCATCCCTGCCATCCAAACGACCGATTTAGACCGGGATTTCATAGTTCAGGGTGCAATCGACCGGGATTTTGACTTGAGGGTTCATTTCGCCTAACCTCTACGAATTCAAGGTTTAAAATAGACTTTTTCCGTTTGTTGCCATCGGTACATGACTGATGCAGGTCCTGTACCAGCGGTCCATTCGTCAACTTACCGGCCGGATCTCCAGTACACACAACCTACCATCGTCCAAAGATACTCTCTGAATATCTGACGCTCGCACATGCTATATTCAATGCCCTGCCTACCTACCAATCTGGCCGTCTGGACGGTACAAATAATGGGACTACATGCCGATACGACCCATATCGCTGCTTCAGGCTTTCTTTTTTTTGTTGAGGATGCTGCTTCAGAGCAATTTTAGTAGACCCTTTATCCCGTCGATCCGCAAAACGTGTTTGCAGTTTGCGGAAAAACGTCTTTACAGGCCGTCCGCTGCAGATTCCACATATCGGACCCGTAAAAAATGATATTCGCGGAATATGTTTTTTAGGGGTCGGCTTTGCGGTGTCTGATCTAGCGCAGCTCCTCCCAACCCGAAAACCCTAAATTTGCACCTTGATTTGATCCAACATAATGCATTTCTTTGCTTTTTCAATAACATTAAATACATAAGACATCATCAAATCTTTGCTAGAATAGTAAGACCAAAGAAAACAAGAACCACAAGTATGCATTTTGAAAGATTTCCAACTTTCATAACTGCTCCCACTAGTTGAATTAATATCTTCTCCATGCATTGATTGTTTATCTGCGGATTCTTGATTTTGCATTCTCGTTTCTTCATCTTTGGTTTGAAAGAAGTAAACGTTTCTTCCCCTCTAGTTGCACATGCAGCCGCATCATTGCCTTCTATTCTTCTAAGGAGTGCGGCAACGTCTATTAAGTTTCTTTCTATCAATAAATCAATGTATTCGCCTTCCCAAAACCAAAATGAGCATCCATCCTCCTACACACATGAATGAGCATGTTCGAAATGAGCTACCGCAATTGAACCAAAGAATGAGCTATCAAAATGAGCTAGCGCAAGTGCACATACCCCATCGTTTTCGCATTTGAAGAACATCCATCCGGGGTGCTTCGGCGTGCCCGAAGTTAGCTGCAGCACAGTCCGCATGCAGTCGTCGCACTGTATGAGCGGCATCGGCGAGCCACAGAGCCGCTGCGCGAGCGCCGAGCCCGGTGGACGGCCGGACAAATCCATGCCCGCAAATCGTCGGCGACGTCGGGAGGACGAACCCGTACCTGCATGCGGTGATGCGCCCTTGCCGGGGCTGCGGGAGATGCTTCTCGACCACTCCATCGCTTGGCGCAGCCACCGACGGCCGAAAAAGCCAAATCCGGCGGCCCGCGATGAAGGTCCGCAGATCCGCAAATCCGGCTGTCCGCCGACGCAAGGGGGAGAGGGGAGCCCTCGTGCGTGTGGCGGCCTTTCGGCGAGCTCCTGCCGGCTGCTTTCGCCGGAATCTTGGGCGGCGGCCCGGCGGCGAGGGGAGGTGGTTGGTGGGGAAAGCGCGGGCTGAAATGTCCCCCCACCAACCGCTTCCTGCTTATATGCAGGGCACCGCATCGGCGAGGGGGAAACCCGTGAATACGCGGGTTGGGGCCGAGATTTTGCCGCAGCCCTCAAAATTGTTTGCGGGCCGGGGCGGGATGCGGGGTCTCATCGGGCAGGTTTTTCGCCCGGCCCGCATTTTGACGGTTATTTTGCGGGTCGGAGCGGGATGTGGGGTCTGCTAGAGTTGCTCTCAGGCTTTAGTTTGAGGAGAGTGCTAGTTAAATGTTCGCAGGAGAAATTATATTCTACCATGCACATGATTTTGATATTTGTGCCATGTTTTCTACTCTGTCAAATTTGTTTTGTTTCATAATGTTACATAGTTTCATGTTTTTTTCCTTTTCTTCTTTTTTCAGTGTATTGTCATGTCTATTTGTCTACCAACGAATAAGAACGCACACTATGATACACTCTGAAACGAGAAAAAACCCAAACATCATGTAATGCTTTCAAACGTTGAAAAAATCAGAAAAAACATTGCATGCACGGATATACTATAAATCACTCTCCGCAAGACTTTTTCGTTCAAACAGCAGACAGGTACTCAAATGCCACAATTTCAAAATTGCGGAAAGCAGCCAGATTGCAACAAATCCAACTGCATAGAAAATTACAACAGCAAAAAACCTGATCTCCCATTGCCATAATTAATACTACAACAATTGCATGGTGTGATTGCACTCTGATAGTACCTATCTAGTTTTATCCATGCTGGCGTCAGAATTACCTTGGTTATCATCTTCTTGCTTGAACTTGGGGCCACTCAAGACATCATCAGCTGTGCAGCCGTCGATGTAATCGATATCATGCTCCTGCCGCCCATAGCTGTTTTCAGCCCCCTGGTAGCCACTAGCTTCATTATCAATTGATTTCCTGCAAGATGGTCTTTCTGGCCCTCCCAAATCTTCCAGATGCTCATGACCATGTTCATCATCATGCTCATGGACATGTTCTTGCTCCTGCCGGCTGCCGAATGATGGGTCGTACGCATGGGGACCATGCACCCTCATTTGCACCGACCTCAGTAGTGCCGTTCGCCTCAGGTCCGCGCCATGGCACATGTCATTGGGTGAAGACGGGAACCGGCCTTCATTCTCAGAGCCACGCCGAGGGTGAGAGCAAGCCACGGATGAGAGGGAGCAGCTGGGGAGAGGATATGGGCTTGATGGTAGGAAACTAGCTTGTGGTTTCTGGAACCGGTGAGGAGATGACATTGGACTAGTTGATGGGCTGACCATTGCATCACCTTGACTCCCGTTGGGGTTTAGTTGTGTGTCGAAGTACCGGTAGTCATCTGAGTCTTCTGACATTGGTGAGTATTGGGAGATTATTTCGTCCCTGAAAGTGACAAATAGGAAAAGACATTATAACATGTGCACCATAAGAAATATAATTGCTGAGAAAGAACAGCACCATTTTACCTACTGAAATAAGTCCCACAATCAATTGTATCAAATATAAAAAGACGGATCCAAGAAAAGAAAAAAAGACCTGGGAAAACTAAGAAACAAGCAATAATTGATCTTTGATGGTTCCAAAGTGTATCGAAGACAAATGGAACACATATAGTTATATAAGTATTCTATCCTCAAGCAGACTGCTTATGACCATGGCTCCTAAATGGATAAGCGTCTGGCGAGAAGACATTGTGGACAACAATATTCAGAAGCATTCCTTAAGTAATATTCTTAATTATATCATGATAGCTTGACATGTTCTAGAACATGCTTATAATGATTCAGTAAGTTAAATGCTTACATGTGGATGCAATCATCGAGCAATAAAGTAGAAGGATCAGATTGTATCCAGAAGCTCCAGATTAGTCATAAGCATATAGATGGAAGACTTTGTCCAGATTATTCACTATTCATGCTGTGTATTACAGAAACATCGAAATACAATTGTACCGCAAATACATTAGAACCAACCGTACCGTTACACGTAATATTAATTCCTAGATGCTTAATCATACTATGGAAATCAGCATGAACATTGTAAGGAGTTCTGACAAACTACGCTAGTCATCTTATAAAATATTATAGTGTGGTCGCTGTTCTAGAAAATGCAGCAATATTGTAAACATAACTTTTAGACAAGCTGGAGAAAGAGATGAATGGATGAAAATGACACCCTCACTATTTTAGATTCAATAGAAACCACACCGGAGTTACCATCCCCAAATCTTTTTTTTTATGGTCAAGTAATTGCTGAAATATTTGAAACAGAGGCCACACCACAGCCCTGTTTGTCGTAATCTAAAACCCAAGGATATTGACCGCATTTCTCAAAAGATTAAAGAGAAAATTAGGGTGTTTACAATTTTATAGAGAACTGTATGGATAAGATAGAATAATAGATCCCTTTTAGGCAAAAGATGAGCATGTCATAACTGAAATAGATACGGAACCACAAAAATATTTCATTCCTCCTCTCACATAATAGAGCTTCTTTGATTCACAGGATTCCAAAAAAATAGGAATATGAAAAACACAAGAATGTGATAGGATTGCACGTGCAAAACAGAGGATTGTGAAAACACGGGAATTTTGTGGAATTGGGTGTTTGATTCGGGGGAACATTAAAGCACATGAATCCTAAGAAGCTTCAAATCAAAGCTTAAACACATGCAAAGGTAATATCATATTTTTTTATGCAACTTATTATGGCCTTTGCCTTGTTCTTTGTGCATAGAAATGCAAAAAAAAAGTCTGCGTGGATGGTAAAATTCCTTTGTTTTTCCTTCGAAAACCACACCAAAGGAAAAATTCCTCCATTAACAATGTCAAAAAGGAATTTTCTATTACATATTTTCCTCCACTTTTCCCATGAATCAAAGAGGCCCTACATTAGCTGCTGATTTTTTTTTGAAGATCAGCTGCTGAATTGGAAAATAACTAGAGGCTAACGCGCGCTTTGCCGCGCCATTCTTCACTCTGAGATTAACTCTTTTGTATCAAGTAGATTATTGTGATTGGTTGTTTTCTTTGGATTTTATATGTGTTGAATTGTGCTTTAATTATGTTTTGATGGTGTTTTCTCTTCATATATAATGTCAGTGTTGTTGGAGACTGTATTTGTCTCCAGGGGAGAATGAAATTGTTTGGTGCATGGTTGTGGTGTATTTACACGTTTAGGCTGTGGTGTCAGTTGATGGTGGTCGTCTGAGCCTCTTGAGAGCTCCTATTCCATGCTACAACCGTGAAATTGTTGCTATAACACTCACATATGCGAACCCACGAAGATCATGCCCGCTCAGCTTGTCTCCCTGCTCCTCTTGCTCACTTAGTTTTTCTCGCTCGCCTAATGCTAGCTAAGAAAAAAAATTGACGATCATTTTCCATTTGAAGAAGTTAGTTTAATTAAAAGATTTTCAGTAATTTCAAAATATATTACGAAATTTAAAAACCATGAATTTTGCAAAACATTCACGAGTTCGAAATATATTCATGGATTTCAAAAAATATTCACAAATTAAAGAAATTTTGAATTTCAAAAGTGTTCACAAACTTTAAAAGTGAGCGTGAACTTCGAAAATATCCATGAATGTAATAAATATGAATGAATCTAAAAAATGTTTGTTTTTTAATGTTTACAAATTTTATTAAGCACTTGTGAATTAAAATGTGGAAAATAAAATATAAAAGAAAAGGACAAATAAAACCAAACAACAAACAATCTTACAAGTGGGGCCTTCACCGACCCGGCGACCCCACAACCCGTGAAGCACCACAACCCTTCAAATCATGGGAGCTTAGTATCTCTATAGATAGATCGATAGTAATCCTACCGAATACTACGAGATCGAAAGAGTATACATCATATATATCTTGGATTTCTGAGACCCGCTTTTCGACAAACGATCAGAGATGTAAACATGATGAAATGTACACGGAATCAGAGCACACAAACCTGATACAAGAGGAACTCTCCGACCTCGCAGGGGACTCCATGATGTTGTCGGCAAGCGAATCTCCAACAGAGAGCCCATTCAGGCTGGACGCCATTATCTGCACTAGCACAGCCACCGGTCAGCTGATAAAGCAACAATATTCAGGGGGGAAACAGAAATGTTGTTCAGTATAGTTTCCCAAGAACTTAAGCTATTTGAGAACCGGGAATCTATGTAAATGATACAAAGCTGAATTCTAATCCGGATAGCAGAAGAAGATAGAGAAAGGGGAAACCAAGGAAGACGCAGAGTTAGAGATCAGTAAGAACGAAATTCAGCGCCAGAAACCAAGGAAGCCCGTCTCTCTCGTACTGGAAGGATCACGGATCAAAGGAATCGCTAATCGACGCAACGAGAGAAGAACTCTGTTCATGGAAGCTATAAACCGCCGAGAATCTGAAACAGAAAGCCGTTTCCCCAAACTGATTCAGGCCCAAACCAAGAACCATGGGGAGGCACAGCCATGGAGACTGAAGGGGCGCCGACCTCGCTGAGGTACCGCTTGTGGGAGTGGAGGTTGTCCACGTACACGTCCTCCTCCGGATCCCTCCCGCGCTTTCCGCCACCGCCGCCGCCGCCAACGCCGGAGGAGGAAGGCGGCGACATTGCGGCGCCCTCGCCGCTGCCACCCGCCATCCGCGCGGCGCGGCGCGGCGGCACGGGTTGCTGGATTGGCTGCTTCTTGGAGGTGAGGGTGGGAGCTAGAGAAGAGTCGAAGGGGAAAAGTGAGGGGAGAAAGCGTTGTCTCGTTTCCGCTCTCCGAGTGCGCAAAATCCCAACTCGCGTGATTTTAGAAAGAATTGTTTTCTCATGAAATTTATACACATATTTTTAGAAAGAATTGTTCAGGTTTTCGTGAAATTTTAGGAAGAAATGTTTTCTCATGAAATTTATACAAAAATCCAGTGAATTTGCTGCAAAAAAGAGAGGTTTTTTACTTTTTACTGAGTTCGGAGATGAATTACTAGAGAAATCTCTCTCTCTCTCTCTCTCTCTCTTCTGCTCTCCGAGTCTAAGCACAAAATCCCAACTCGCATGATTTTAGAAAGAATTGTTTTTTCATGAAGTTATACACAAATATTTAGAAAGAAGTAGTTTCTCATGAAATTTATACAAAATACCAGTGAAACTGCTGCAAAAAAAGGGTTTTTAGAGCTGAGAAGTGATGTAAAATAGAGCAGCTGCCCAAAAAACGTTTTTTAAGGACATTTGAGCCAAAAAATGACGGTTCAGCAGCTATCCTATCTCTATATTTTTGTTCTCAGTTCAAAGTAGTCCTAAAATTTGGGACATGGAGTATCTGCTCCCGAGCTTAAATGCTCCCTTATTAACAGTAAAATCAAAAAAATAGTAAAAGAATTCAGAACATTCTAAATATTTTTGGTAAACTTTGACAAATGTTTAGTACGCTTTCAAAATTTCAGCACGAAATGACATTCATGGAAGGCATGGCAAAAAAAATTGATGTTTCAAAAATGCCAGTTTTGAAAACATTTTGGTGTTGATTTTCCACACGTTTCACAAATGTTATTTCGTGCTGAAGTTTTGCAAGTATACAAAACATTTGTCAAAGTTTACCACAACAAAAATTCAGAATTTTTATATTTTTTACTATTTTTTATTTTACTGTTCATCAGGGTGCATTTGAGCTCAAGATCAGAAATCAATCCTTTTTGCATGTTATACTACTTGACCCTCCTCTTCTATGCATGCATAGGTTTGAGCGGAGCTTGAAGCGTGATAATGAATCTAAGCACAAGATCACGCCTACTCCATCCGTGCTGTCTCGTTTCCGCTCTCCGAGTTTAAGCACAAGATCATGCCCACTCCATCCGCGAAGGAAGCATGGAGCTCCCGGAACCTCCGGCCTCCATCTTGGAGCTTCTGGCCCCTGAAACTTCCGGCATCCCTCGCGTGCAGCAGTGCAAACTCTTGGAAAGCTCGGAACTTCCGGCCCCTGTCTACGCGCAGCGAGTTGGGCGCAACCCATGTTCCCCTCCTCACTTACCCCTTCTTGGCTTGGACTATATATATAGCCTTCCCTCTCCTCCATTCTAGAGTTAGCTAAGATTAGAACCAAAACTATAGAGCTTAGCTCATGTATGATGTATCACCCCTTGTGGAATTACTCCTTTCATGGAGATGGCTCCTCTCATGGAGACGAAGACCTCCTCTTGAGGGGATGACTCCTTAGGAGTACAAAGGACTCCACTTGTGGAGAAGGATCCCATCATAGGATTATCAAGACTCATCTCTCCTAGAGATTTGGACGAACTGCTTATGTATTTTTTTCTTTGTTGTTGTTAGATGCTTGTGATCTATCTCGTTGCTTGTGATTTGAGTGCCTTGTGTGTGGATCTTTTCCAATAGAGTGCTTTCCCCCTTGTGTTCTTCATGTTACTCCTCAAATCCACCTCTAATTCATGAAGATTGGGCAAACAAGGGTTTGGCCCTACACCATTTGGTATCAAGAGCAAGGTTGCCACGAATTGAAACCCACACCTCTCCGCTTTCTACCCTCAGTTCAAAGTTTTAAGCCCTAATTCGAAAAAATTCCACAAAAATAGCCATACCAAATTTCTTGTGATCTGTTGTTCCTTGTGGGTTTTTGTTGATTTAGATCCGTAGATCTAGTGTTTGGCACGTGAATCTGCCTTTTCTTTGCATCACTAGCCTCAATTTTTCTTTTTCTGCTTCATTTTTGCCCTGAAAATCGAGTTTCTCTGCCCCAAAACTCAAATCTGAAATTTGGAGTTCGACCTCGTAGTTCTTTTATGAACCCTGGACCTTCTGGGCACCCCTGGAACTTCCGGGCTAAACAAGAGGTTGCAAGTTGCATCGTAATTTTAGCATTGCCCCCATTCTTTGTTTTTGCTCTAATTCATGACCCCAGACTTTGATTTGAGAGTTCTTGGGGAGCATTCTTGGGCACGTTCTAAAGCTATCGACATGCCCGAGGCCCTTATATAGGTTTCCACATCATTTGGCCAAGACAAAATTGGAGGTTCTTAATCAACACCGAGACCCCCTCCACAGATCATCATGCTCATGCCACCAGTTCATCACCAACACTTCCTCAGGATGACTATCTTGTACCTCTCCATCGACTACATCAACCAACAACGCTCGACATCGACGACGACCATTCATCCCTTTGACACCAAGAATTGGAAGCAAGGTCGGTTACCTCCGATTTCGTAAAGGATGTGTGACAAAGGTATTCATTCTGTCACAAACTTTTCCTTCCTTACCATCACTTTGATAGCCTCACCATCTTTGCGATTACCTTCGTACCTATTGAGACTAGATATCCGAGTATTGTCGGGTTTCGCAAAAACGTGAGCACCATAGTGATACGATATCATCTTGTCACATCATTTGGTATATCATATAGTACGCTGAAAATCATTGACTATGCACTCCCAATAAATTGTATGTTTGAATTATATATTTTTTACTGCAATAATGTTTATGTTTAAATTATGTTTTTTTTCTCATTTTACTTGTGTGTTATATTAATTGTTATGTATATTCGTATTGTTCAATGATTAATGTACATGTGTTTGCATGGATTTGAGGTTTTGAAAGTGGAAGATGTGGATGCCAGGGTGGGCATATAGGGGGTTGCCGGCTCCATGGACATATAGGGGTCAAATTTGCCCAGTCCGGGCTCTTAGGGCATGGCCAATGCTCCACCGTGGAGTGATGCCCCAACTATCCACGTAGGATCGGATGGTCCATCATGCTGCTTGCAGGCCAAAGCGGCATCCTGCAGAAGAACCGAACTCCTCGCTGAGAAAGGTATGAAAGAGAGGGGAAAAGCAAGCCAGCGACCTGCTCTGCTCACGACCATTCCCTTCTAGGAAACAGAATAGTGAAAACGCTGACGAGAGAGAAGGAAAAGGAGCTTATCAATGATGGCAGCTTGGGGTCACGGGTTGGGGACATGCTAGATGAAACCACCGTCCTCTCCGTTTCGTGCACACGTGGAGCATGGGGCAGCACATGTGGTACATGCCCTTAAGCAGCCCTGTCGAGGTGGCGAGCATTGCATCACATGATAGTACTCTTCCTAACCATTTCCCCGCAAATAAAAAAGTTACTGTGCACTCTGCAAGAAACAAAAAGAAGTATACTGTGGTGGACAGGACCTGCATATATTGTACTCCCTCCGTAAAGAAATATAACAAATGTTACTACAGTTTCAGGTAATACAAATGTTACATCGTGACAGACCATGTCCAAACACATCGATTTAGCAATCCAATATTTACAGGGAAAGTGGCTATGTCAAAGGGTCATAACAAATGTTACTACAGTTTCAGGTAAATGCCTTTCATGTGGAGGAAGCAGGCGGCCAAGCACCAGAAGATGATCTCCACGAGGACGAAGGCCAAGGTGCCCCAACGTTTCGAATGGAAGATGGCCTGGAGCAGAGACTCCGTGGCATCCACCTGAAAAGCAGTTTTTTTTTCTGGGTTATCTCTCATGAAACCGGGTGCTTCAGGGGTAACAGCGGTGGGTAATTTTCCGAACCGATAAATGCGTGACCAGCATGATACTTGGTGTGCGCGATAAATTGGCATGAGCTCTACATGATCTACAACAAATATGGCAAGAGATGCATATGCATCAAATACATACCAGGTTGTTCTCTGGTGACCGCCAGTAGAACCCTTGAATAAACGTAGGGAAGAGCTCACAAGCTGCCAAGACATAGACTATAAGCGCATTCATGCCCAACCACTGGAACAGAATTAATGGCTTCTTGATGTGGATAACATCGACCTGAGAAACATATAGGTTGTTAGATTTGAATGAATAGACTTCATGATGATCTAGTTTGTTAGATTTGGTTCCAAAGTATTGTGGGAAAAAGAAGGTGATATCAAGATTAATATGATTGAGAATACCAATGTTACAGGCAACAGCCTGGACCAAAGATTGCACAACTTACTATGCAGTATAGCAGCAACAGAAGGAACCCAGATACTCCACCAGCCAGCAGCATGTAGCTCACAGTATACAAAGGCTTGCTGAAAGGCATACCTAAAGACCAACAAGCCGTCAGCACAGAAATGGAAGGTCTAATTTGAATCATGGTTCCCGGCATGTCACTCTCCTGTAGAATGCAGACTCACCTAATAATTGTAATAAAAATCCTGAGACTGTTAGCACCGTTGAAGCTAGCAGCCATGACATCATTCGCTGTGAATGAGTCTGCAGCAGAAGCAAGGTTAGAGAAATCTGGAAATGTCTCTTTGTTTCATTCATAATTCTGTTTTGCTCAATAATGAAGGTTCCAACAGACAAGCACATGGTTGAAAACTTGAAAATGTACTGCATTTCAGGTGATGTACCTTGCAATGAATCAAGACATGACCAAAATGCAAACCAACAAAGCAACTCACTGCAGCCATCAATGTACTGCGAAACCAGGTGGAAAGAAAGATGGGGGTCACAACCTGATTTTTCTAGGAGAGATGTCAGTTTTCGTACTTGTTTAACATTAGTTGGGATGATAAAGAAGCCTGGTATGATTAGGTATGCAATCAGCAATTAATTAATAACAGAAGCTATATATAACTACCTTAATAAACCCTCCGGGTCAAAGGGAGCCAGGCACCAGTTTGGCG